AAATGCTGGGGTTGCTTTTGTTCAGGCAAAACCTGAACTTAAAAGTAGGTCAAAAAGCCAAAGAATATGTGTGGCTGCAAAGCAGCAGATTTTTAGCTCAGAGCTGTATGAGGGGGCTGTAGGAGTCCCCTTCATCTCAGCATCCCACTGTTTTGCTGAGAACAGGCACAGCATGAGGAGTTGGGAGGGTGGAGAGGAGTGAAATGCTCTGTGAGGATGTGTCAAGCCCATCTCTTCTCACCAGGTTAGATACAAGAACGCCCTTCTCTCCCTATTGCTTTCAAGGACTCACTTGGCCTTTGTTTTGGCAGGTTCTGCTAGATCGAGTAGTTTGCCAAGTACGAGCTCTGGTTGTTCTACCCACCAAAGAACTGGCACAACAGGTAGGTGACTCTTCACCTTCTCTCTGAGCAGAACTGGACCAAGACAAAGGCTGGTGCAGTCAATACTTTGCTTGGCTGTTCTGTAAAGCAGGTTGAAGACCTGTCGGGGGATTTGATGTTGTTAGGATAATGGAAAGTATTATTTTAATGATGTGGTTGTGGCTAACAAAGCCCATCTTTTTGCAGGTGAGTAAAGTGTTCAACGTTTACACTGATGGGACAGGTCTGAAGGTCGTTTTGATTACTGGCCAGAAATCTTTTGCAAAGGAGCAGGAGATGCTTGTCCAGAAAAAGTAGGTTAAAAGGTCTTTTGATAAGGTTTATAGAGATTGTAAACTATTTAATCTCAGTAAGCAGAGGTCAGAATATAGGCTATTGCATCACACCATCATGCAATAATGATTTTAGATAGTGGGTTTGTATACTAGATGCTGGTTGTTCTGTCATTGTCAAAGTGCCTGTTACTGCCCCTTTTTTGTGATTGTTAATGTTTTACTAGATTTTGGGGATTCTTGACCAGCTGAGTAGAATGCAAACGTTTACCTTATACCCACAGGTACAAATGATTGTTAAGGGATTCTGTTGCATTTAAGCTTTTTTTAGAAGCAGTGAAGAAGTGAACTTTCTGTTTAAAATGAGGCAGTACAATGGAGAATAGGGTTTAGTGTCCAGCACTGCCTTTGCATGCTCTCCAAAGTGAAGTGCATATTTGAATTTTATTATTTCTCAGTTAATTGAAAAGAAGGAAAATGTTAAGGTCTGCTGACCAGGGATCTCTATTACACGCTTTATGGTGTAGGGAGAAACTTACTGATGAGCTGCTTGTTCTTTCAGAGTGACAGGGTACTGCAGCCTGGCTGATATTATTGTGGCTACACCAGGACGACTCACAGATCACATCAGCCAGACCCCAGGGTTCAGCCTGACGCAGCTTCGCTTCCTGGTGAGTCAGCTCCACAGGTCTCCCATCTTAGTGCAGGGTCTGTTACAGCTGTAATTCCTGCTTTGTTCTTGCATGGTGCATAAACACATCTCTGTTGGAACTGTTGTATGGGCCTGGTCTACACTCCAGATTGTTCAGGCAGCAGTCTTAAGATATTTTATTCCAACTTGTGACACCCCAGCATCCACCACCCACTTCCCCTTCTCTCTTAGCCTCTTGCAAACACAAGCTCAGAGTAAAGGCTTATTGGTCAAGGTCAGGATAAATTATCAGACTGTAGCAGCTTCCACCATATGGGAGTCTGTGCAGAGACATAGTTGCAATCTTATTTAGGATATGGAGATTTTTATCTCTTCTTTGAAGACATGAATTAGGTTTATATGTTTGAATGTCAGGCTGGCTACTGAGTCAGCTACTGAAATAAAAGCAAAATTCAGTTTTGGGGTAGAAACTTCTGCCTTCATTTGATAAGGATAATGTTAGAAAAGGTAGATAAAAGCTGCCTAATGCTAGACAGTGTTTAAGAAGTAGTATTTTTCATCCTTTTGAATTCAGATCGTAGATGAAGCTGACCGTATGATTGATGACATGCACCAGAACTGCCTGAACCAAATTGTCAAAGCTGCATTCCAAGTAGATGACACTGGCTCCAGCATGCTTTTTCAGAGGACCAAACCAGGGCCTGTAACAGCAGCCAGGTAAGTTGCCAAATGCATTTCTTTGAAGCAGTAGCACAGACACCAGCACCTAGATGGCACTGCCCTGCTTCACAGTACTCCCTCACAAGCACTCCCAGAGCTTACTCTGAGAAGTGTCTGCTAGAGTGAGACAGCTGCTTTTTCAAAGCTTGAAAAAGCAGGCAGTGAACAGCTGATACTAGAGGATGTCTTTTAGACTAAAGCCCAAGTATTGTATTCTCCAAGCTTTCCTTAACTAGACTAAAGGAGCATCAAAAGAATGTGCAGATATTGCAAGTCTGTGATTCATTTGCACAGTAACTACAGTAATGCCCTCTGGCAAGCTGAGTAATGGATTTGAAAGAGACCTCTTGGCCCTATCTGTCTGCTGCTGCTGTTTTCACACAGCATGGTAGAGATGTGTTAGAAACTGAGATCAGTGACCAAGGAAGGAAGCAACTAGAATGAGGACATGGGTAACAAGGATGCAAGGATCTGTGCAGGGGTAAAGGACGCAGGTTGTGTGGTTGGTTGAGAGTGCTGATCAGTTCTGTCTGTGAACTCCACCATACAACAAGGGAGGAAAAGAACCTACAGGAAAGGCCCAGGGCAGGAAAAGAGCATCAGAAAGAGTTAATTGCTTCCCTCATAACATCTTCTGAAGGCTCTTGTGGAGGAACTCCTTTGCCTCATCCTCAGAGCTCAGTTTCTGTGTGCTGTTTATTTCAGCTCCTGCTATCCTCAGATACCCTTACAGAAACTGCTGTTTTCAGCCACGCTGACCCAGGACCCAGAGAAACTGCAGCAGCTGGATTTATTCCAGCCTCGCCTCTTCACATCTGTCTATTCTGAGAAAAAAATACTTGGAGATGGAACAGAGACTGAGCAAGACACTGATAAGAAATACACACTCCCAGAGGGCCTATCGGTATGGCACTGATTCTCTTGAGTAAATTATACTTGAAGATTTGTTTAACTCTGGAGTATCTAGTTATGTTTTTACCCTATGAACAGTTAGGTCTTCCCTGTGATTCCTTGCATTATGGGGTGCTGAGCAAAAGTGGCTTTGTGAGTATTTATGACCCAGAGAGCTCTACTTTTGTACATTTGTTTTCTCATTATTTAGTGTTCATTTGGTTAGGGCTGGATTTTTAAAATTTTTTTAATTAAACTCTTCTTGCAGAATTAAGTTTACCAGCAGTGGGGAATGGAGATATGAAGTAATGTAGTAGCACTTATCAGCTGTCCACATATATAATGTGTATTTCGAGGCATGTAGATACAGGTCATCCTGTAGACAAGAGGACAATGCATGTAGTTACTTGCTGTGGAGACGTGAGAGCATTAGAACAGCACAGGTCTCCAGTCTCCACTTTGTGTTGTATCCTCCCAGCCTGTGACTTGTTCTAAAAGGGGTGGTGTTGTGGGGTCTGGTTTTGCTGCTACTAGTTGCAAAACATCCAAGCCTGTGTAGGTCATGGAAAGGTAGCGGGTTTCAGAGAAGATAGCCTTGGCAAGAAGTAATTTTTTCTCTCTGAACTTCTCCCCTGTTGACTGCAGCAATGTTACGTGCCTTGTGACCTGAATTCCAAGCCCTTGCTCCTCTTGCATTTCATGCTGACGATGAAATTTACCCGTGTGTTGTGCTTTACCAACTCCAGGGAAGCTTCTCACAGGTGAGTACATTAATGAGATCACTGTGGTAGGTGTTTATCAATTAATGTTAAAGAGATAATGAAGTGACTGTTTCTGTCCCATTTACCTACAGATTGTTCCTGCTGGTTCAGGCCTTTGGTGGAGTCCCTGTGGCTGAATTTTCTTCTCGGTTACCTCCAAATGAGAGACAGAGAACCATAAAGGAATTTGAACAAGGAAAAATACAACTGTGAGCATCTTAAATTCGTTTCTTGCATGTCTTCCAACACAGGCTGTTTCCAGCGTGAAAAGCTAGGTGGAACCAAGAACACAGTTAAATGGGGTCCTCTGTAAAACAGAGCGTGCAGGAGCCAGCTTGCAGAATGGGTGTGGATTGGGTCACTTGGACTTGTGACTTTTGAATTGTTTACGCTGCTTGTAACTTGGCCTGTTACAATCTAGCTGTAATCTGAATTCCTGAGTTTTATTTTAGCAAGCAGTAAATGTAACTGCTTGTTTGTATAGCTGCCCAAAACACATACAGTTCTGGAAATTGTACGTTTAATGTCTGTGCTTGGTGTCTGGCATTTACTGGAAGAAAATGGATGTTGGTACTAGAACTATATATAATATTAGTGCTTCCTACCAAAGAATTCTCTGATCAGACTGGCATATGGATTTACTTCTATCAATGTGTTTGATTTGCTTTGTGATTTTGGTAGCTATATGGGGTAGCATCTGTGGAATGTCTCTGAGAAGAAGGTAAATATTTATTTTCTGGATTTTCTTTTTATCCAAACCTGGTGTTTGAATTCCTCCTTGACTACTGGAATTTCACACCTTGCTGTCTGCGTTCAGTGCCCTTAAGGAATGTTCAAATAGCTTACAGGTTTGTAACCTCCAGTGTGGTGGGAGCCATCTGGCTTAGTGTTGCATGCTTAGAGAACCTGGAAACACTCTTCATACACAACAGTAGGTAACAAGCCTGTAGTGATGCTTGGAAGACTGGGCAGCTAAGAATGCCAGTGACAGTAAGGGGTGACTTACAATGACGCTGTCGTGGTCAGAAGCTGGCTGCACACTTTGAACAGAGATTAGCAGAGTTGTGGTGTGTTTGCTTGTGTTTCACTTGTGTGTGTAGTGCAGGAGGTGTTGTCTGAAAATGACTATATATACACATTTAAAACCAGGTTAATCAGCACAGATGCCACTGCACGAGGGATTGATGTTAAAGAAGTGAATTATGTCATAAACTATGATGCACCGCAGTTCATCAGGACGTATATTCACCGGTAAGGCAACCAGGAACAAAAGGAGGATGTCTGAGTTTGGTTTACTTTGAAATATTGAGCAAAGGTGACATGCACTTAAAAACTTTTTTAGCTTTAGATTTTTTTCTTACTTTAATACAAATAGCTTTCTAACCAAAATTAAACCTCTCGCATCACAAGAGTAACGCAATATTGAAACAGAGAACTAGCACCTATGACAGAAAATGTGTTTTACAAGAGCTAGAGGTACTGTCCTGGACAGCATGGAGTATTTGGTTTCTAGATGTTCAGAAAACTGCAGCAGCTCAGCATCTGAACAAGCCCTGGAAGTGTTCATCCTTTGTAACATGGCTAGTCCTGCTGTGCTAACCTCGAAAAACTCGGAATCAGGCTTTCTTAAATCTGGAAAATTTCAGATTCGGACTCTTGGAGCTGACAGTGGCAGTGACTATGTGGCTAAACTGACTTGATGCTACTTTTTAATTTTCAGAGTTGGAAGAACAGCCCGTGCAGGAAAAGTGGGTGTTGCTTTCAGCTTGGTCCTTAGAATTCAGGTATGTCATTGGTGTGAGATTCATTTGATAAGGATGCCTGCAGGGGCACGAGGAAGATAAGGTTCATTTTGCAGTCAGCTGAGCTTTTTACTTGGAAACTTCAATTATTTCCTCACAGGCAGCACATTCCAAAATGTGCTCATTTTCTAGCTGATAGGCAGTGGGGTGTCTGATCTCCTGTGTCTGTTTTGTTATGCAGGAACGTAGGTTTCTGCGGATGTTGAAGGATGCTGGCATCCATGACATAAAGAAGCACCCAGTGAAGGGCAACTCCTTAAAGCCGTTGGTGCAGCAGTATGAGGAAGCTCTGTGTAAGCTTGAGAAGACAGTCAAGGTAATTGAAACAGAGAAGAAAAATTTAAAAATGAAACTACAACTGGCACAGTTCATTGCAACTTGTGACTAGCACAAGTATTAGCGTCCAGGATCCTTTCCTTTAACTGAGACATTTCCATTTCAGTGTGAAGGCAGCATTGTGAGTGCGTCATTATGAAATACTCAGAAAGGGTGGGGAGGGGAGAAAGGTTTTCTGTTAAAAGAAAAGTAGGTGCCATCCCTGGCGGTATTTAAAAGATGTTTAGACATGGCACTTAAGGGACATAGTTTAGAGGTGGACTTGGCAGTGTTAGGTTTATGGTTGGACTCAGTGATCTTAAGGGTCTTTTCCAAACTACATGATTCTGTGAATCTATTCTATGATTTGTGGTGTTTCCTTTTCTCTTCTGCCTTTCTCTTTACCTCTGGAGCTGGGATTTTGGTAACTACCCACAGGAAGGCAAACAAAATGCAGAGGTTAAACCTTTTGCCATTACAGAGTTTTAAGGCTGTAACTTACAGCTCTGCTGACCAGAAGTTGGGTGTTTAGGCCAGGAAAGCATTTGCTGCAGGCCCTCCTTTATACACCAGTGGGAAGGTTGAGAGCTTTCAGACAAAACCCAGGGTAGCATTTAACTTGGTAGGTGGTTACACTAGGGATCCATAATAGACTTTCTGTGGAAGTGTTCTGCTCTCCGATTTGAGGACTGCTGATAAACATTCATCCTTGAAAAATTGCAGTTTTGGGTTGTAGACTAGGAATGTTTGAGAACTGGGGTAGAAAGGATTATTAAATTGTTCCATTGCTCCCTGAAGTACTCTGTGTGACTCTGAGACAGGGGCATCTTCAGTCACCTTCTCAACTTTAATTTTGAACAGAACGAGCGAGCTCAGAAGCGAGCCTGAATGAATGGAAGCTGAGAAGATCATGTTTCCTGGCACTGAAGCTACTGAGCCAAACACATAATGGACTTCTGCCCAGCCTGGTAACAATGAGACATGGGCCCTGAATGGTTGGCTCCTCACCCTTATCATATCCAAAGTCAGCTATTGCAGGCCTCATTCCCATTTCAAGGACACTGTGAACAGAGTTCACTTACTGGTTTAAAAAAAAAAAAAATTGAGATACAGTTGTCTGGAAGAGGACTTTGTGTCATATCCTACTGCCATGTGTAAAACTATCAGCAGTGAGGAGCCGAGCCATTACTCAGCTCTGATGGAACTGCTGGTCTGCAAAGGTGAGGGCTGTGCCCTCCGTGCCTCTGAACTGGGACAGCTGCTGGTTCTGTTGTACTGCGTGAGCAGCTGCATCTGCACATGTGTATCTGCACCTGTACAGTGCCTATAGTAGAGGTGTGCTTGGAGAGCTACTCTAGGCTGAAATGACTGCAACTTTTAAATAAATACTATATGTATTTAAACTGTCTAATAGGGATTCTGGGCACAGGGATGGAGATAGTGCTAAAGGGATTTTTCATGTCTATAGTCTGGTGCCTTTCTTGTCATTTTCTTGCCTACATTGTTTCCTTCCACCATTGAGTACCAGGTATTTATTATTAAGTGTTAGGTTGGTGTTGATGCAGACTAAAATGTCTGATGTCTAATATGAATATACTGGAGTCAGCGACTGTCGCTGCGAGCCATGAATCTGTATTTGACACATGCCACTGATATTTTTAGCTGCCCCTGGCAGAAGGCTTAGAGCTCCCACATAGCTGCAGCCTGCAACTACCCTCCAAGACCTTCAGCAGGCAATGCCCAAGCTCTGGCTTACTATTTTGGAAAACAAAATCAATGTACAGTAGCATTAGCAGTAAATGATGGGAGCAGAATGGAGGGATGGATGTCAGGAAGGGTGGTTGCATCTTGTAAAGACAGGAGCAACGTGGGGTTGTTTTGGATCAGTGAGGTAGCCTGGGTCTTCCTACTGTGTGGCTGCTTTCTCAAGCAGTGGTTGCCAAGGGCAGTTGAGATGGGATGTGAGGAAGAATTTCTTTGCTGAAAGGGTTCTCAGGCAGTGGAAGGGGTTGCCCAGGGCAGTGGTGGAGTCCCCATCCCTGGAGGGATTGAAGAGTCGTGTAGACATAGTGCTGAGGGACATGGGTTAGTCGGGGACTTGTCAGTGTTGGGTTCACGATCGGACTCGATGAGCTTAAAGGTCTTTTCCAGTCGAGGCCATTCTGGGATGCAGTTTGCACAGCTGGGTGCCTGGGCCGGTGTCAGAGTCACAGAACGGGAACGTCCCCAGGCAGGAGCTGTGAGATGTGAGCGAAACGAGGATCTGTCTGCTGCAGCCACAGCCCCTCAGGGCGGTTGTTCAGACGGGCCCGAGTTCGAAT